TTATCGTTGACACCCAATTAACACCTATTGTTAACAGGGGGTGGAGTGATACTGGCAATAACCGCGCTGTAGGAGGGGGACAACTGAAAACGGAGGCCTCCATCTCTGTTTAATGAGAGTTAAACTGTTTAATTACTGGATGGATTTTTATAAAATGTGGATCTACAATTGGCTAACATTTGGAGTCAATCAGATTTAAGAAGGATGCCACAACTAAGCAACCTTAGCAAACAAAATAAAAAGACATAACTTGGTAATTTTTACACATATGGACTTTAAATTTGGGATAGTTGAGTCACTTCCAGCATCCCCAATTAAAAATGACCGACACAGATGGACAAGCTTATCAACACAAAACACTAACCCAGTCATCTATTGCAGATGTTCGATTAAATTTAATGTGGTAGTAGCTGAGAGTTGTATCAATGCATACTCCAAACCAATAGATCTGGTGAGATCTTGCAATATTGCAGAAATTTGCTCACATTATTTAAAATGTTTGACAGGAACAGCTCTAACTCTGATCTTATTTTAACACTTTTACATAAAGGGCAATGGGTGATATGCATTCCTTTCTGGTATTAAATTATATTTGCATGTAATATATTCAGTATGTGAAAATGTTGTAATCTGATTCAGCAGACATGCACTGGGTCCAAACAAGTTTCATTCCTGCCTTGGCGGCGACGCATCGAGAAGGATCTGACAACAAACAAGGGGAAGTGAGGAATGGAAAGGCTCAGAGGTGTGATTGGCTGAGTTCAGGTGAGTGGATGAGAAACAACAAACAGGTGATGACATGTTAAGCAAGAGACAAGATAAGGGGAGCTGAGGACATCTTGATGACTGTGAGAAACACAAAGACGGAGTGGAATCAGGAACAACTCAACAGAAATACACCAGAGATTAGCCTCTGATAATATGGAACAATGAAGATATGATTTAGAAAGAAAAAAAATAAACCAAAGTGAGTGAAATACAGAACATGGACACATTAACCAAAAAGACATTGAGCAACAACAGCAGTGAGCAGCTTAAGTCCAAGACTACCTTAAATAAAGAGATATTTATAGATCAATACCTCAACAAAACCCACAGACCGTGACACAAAGATAAAAAAAAAAAAAGCAATGTGGAAATGATGCTTGGATTCCTGCCGGTGTGTTTTGCACAGATGACAGTTTTTTTTGTCCCTGCCAAAGATGTAACGAAATTTAAGTTACCTGGTGGCTGTTAGCAATTCCCCAAACAATCCTGTTCTTGTCAAGTCAAAGCAACGATTTTCAAAGCAGTCAGTCAGACTGTTTGGAACCTGCAGCAGCTTTATTTGTCTGTTTCTTGATTAACAACCACATTAATGAAAAGTGACTTAACAATAGTCAGTGGGGGGATCAAACATCAGTAAAGAGAAAATTAATGCAGAGGATGAAGAGTATTATCCTGTAGATAAATCTACGATATCTGCAGAAAATCTCGMAGACTGGAACACATAATCTGGTGCATTTTCAGCCAGTGAGTTTGGATGCTGATAAGTGTGCTTCTTTTTATTTTCTTGCATGATGGTTTCCACTCACTGAATTTTAAGATATGTTCAAATGCAAACAGATGTTTTTATTTTTTTATTAACAAAAGTTATTTTTCCACAGATAAGCAGGGAGAATGATCTGCCACCTACGTGTTTCCACAGCATACAGTACCTTCTGCATCACATCCTCGCTCCTGTGTGGTATAGTTTCTTTTTTGTGAGAACACATCTCTAGGAGGGGATTCGCTTACTGTGAAATGTAAATGTAAACAACAGATGCAGGAAAAAAAGCATTTGTGAGCATGAGACACAATCTGTTGCATTCACGACTAAAAGGTTTAAATCGAACTACAATAGCTGCGGGAAAATATATCATTCTTGCAAAATTCCATGAGATTGTTTTCGAGATTTGACTAAAATGACTTCAGCTCATCACGTTTCGAATTTGTCTTTGTTTAAAAGTTTGTCATGTAACGTGGTGGGTGATATGCATTTCTTAAAGGAATGCCTGACCTCTATGTCTGTCTTTTGTGTGAGCTCACTATTTACAAAAAGGGCAAAACTGAGGCTAATTTTATGTTTGACTATGAAAAAAAAAAAGAAAATCTGGTTAAATACAAGGATCCCTCTTAGTAACGTTTGTTGTCATTATAACCAAAATTTTATGATGACAGGCCAGAGCTACTAATGGCTTCTGTTGCACTTCATTTAGCATACTGTATAGAGCCTAATAGGATTGCCTATTTACGGYTGTGACCCCTAAGACAAAAACAAGGTGAACAGCAAGGAGACAACGGTCCAGTTTTATTCCATCTACATTGTTCTATAACAAGCCCCTGACTTTGTTACAGGTTTAGAAGTTTTCCAACCTTAAAATGACCCCACTGTGATTTCCATCTTTATTTAAAGTTTGAGGTATGATATTTTCTTGCACTTTAAWGCATTTCAATCGTGTTCGTAGTTTCTTTATATTGCTTCCTTTTTCTTTCCCTCCATTCTTCATGTTCAAGAGATACTTACTTGCCAGACAGACAAACAAACAAACACTGGCAATTGCATGATTGCTTGCCTTGGTAGTGGGTGATTAAAACTGGAAGGTTAAGGCCAGACAGAAAGTCGATGGGTATTTGTTTTGAAAACCAAAAAGGCTTAAAAAACGAGAAAAAAAATAAAACAAAAACAAGAACATAAAGACTAAAACAAAAATGAATGTAGGAAAGTCCAATGATTAAAAAAATGTGTATATAAACTTTTGGCAAGTTTCCTTCTATCAATCAAGATTCAGATTGTTGATAATTAATTTTTGAAGAAATCTAACACAGCCACAGAACGGGGACTTTAAGTAAAACATATCAGCTCAATGACGTGGCCAGCAAACACTTTGGATCTCATTCTGTGTGAATATTTATGGTCAAAATTGAAATAAATGATCCATGACAAGGCTCCATCCTGCAAAGCTGATCTGTCAACTGCTCGGTGAGAAAGTTGGAGTCTGATTGATGAAGAATCTCGTTTCCTCACTGAAGTCTATGCCTCAAAGAGTTAAAGATGTCATTAAAGCCAAAAGAGATGCAAAAACGTATCAATTACATTTTTTTTTTTCGGTTGGGGGAGTCTGTTTTGTGGCCTGGCGGAGCAGCGGTTGGAGCTGCTTTCTTTGAGTTTTCTTTCTGCACACGAGAGTTTTTACCAGGTATTCTACCACAGACCAAAAACCTGCATAGAGTAAACATTAACTCTAAATTGTCCCTATGTGAGTGAGAGAATGAATAGTTGTTTGTCTCTATGTGGTCCTGTCCAGGGTGTACCCCGTCCCTCACACAGTGACTACTGCAGACAGGCACCAGCTCCCTGCGACAGGGAAAGGAAAAGCTGATGTGGAAAATGGAAGGATGTATAGTTTGTTTGGCACAAACACAAACCAGCTGAATGAAGATTCTCCCACAGCAGGGCTTCTTTTTCTTTTGCCAGCTGTTGCATGCATGAAGCTTCGTGGGCTAAAGCTATAATCATGCCTGACACAGTTGATAAAAATAACCCAAACTGACCAATGGGTAACCTGCAATTAATGGGGCAGTCTATATTTGCCAGTAAGGACATTCAGGATGAGAGACAGACGTTTCATCCTTATTCGTGCAAGTGCTGCTTTAGAAAGTGACGTTTTGGTTATTAAAACCGTATTTTTGGGGCATAAACACAAACTTACTGCAAGCAATCCACTTTTTTTGTATTTCTGATTAAGGATTTCATTTTTTATGCCACTCAAAGTAACCACATTTTGATTTTCCAAATTAAACCCATGAGATTTGAAGTTTGTAATAAAAAAAATAAATAGAAATGCTGTTTTGCCTGCAAATATTTAGTGAGCAAGGTCTTATTTGTGACTATCACCTCACAGTTGCAGGTTTAGTTTACAATCTGAACCACTCTTTCTTTTAAGCATCTATAATAGTTGGTACAATAAACTTCACCCTTCATATTTTGTACCAATATATCCACACATAATGGTTATTCTCATTTATTATATTTCTGTTTTGAGATTTTCTTCCTTTCATGTTGAATGTTTAATAAAGAAGAGAAGTGCTAAAAAAGGGCAGACACAAAATTTCCAGCTCAGTTAGGAGTCAGAGCAGTGAGTTGTCAACCCACCCCTGCCAGGTGGGCAGTGGAGCGGACCCAGTGGGTGCTGGAACATCTAAAACCAGCTTCTGAAACACCAAATCAGAGATTAAAATCACAATACATTTAACATAAATTATAATTCACATTCAAACAAAAACACACTGAGTGTTTTAGTAAGGAACGTGATAATAAAATCAACAAATTTTGCTCATCAATCAAAAAAAAWAAATCAACACACTACACTCCTTAGTAAACCTGACTAATTTAATTAAATTAAATTCACATTTTCCTCATCAGAATGAGTCCTGCATGTGTTTGTAACAAAAATATTCAAAATGCTGATACACTCTTATTCCTGCATCAGCTGTTAAATGATTAATGTGATTTTCAATAATTCTTGCAAATCTGTAAATTTAGTTACATTTCTTGGAGTTTTGTATTTAAAGTCTATAATGTCTAAAAACGTACAGTGCAAACTTGATTTCCATATTTTACTTCAAAACATGTCTCCTCTCCAGTGACTTGTTTACATTCTGAAACAGAATTAAAAAAATTGCTTATTTTTCTAACCCGACTCATTGAAAAAAAGTTGTTTCCAGATGATAATGTGTTCTGTTTAATCTCCAACTTACCTGACAGAAATGTAACACAAACTTAAAGTGAGGTCTAATTATGCCTGTGCTTGGAGCTCCTTCATTAGTAATCTACCCTTCAGAAATCATCATTTCTGTAAATAAAATGTACAGACAAGTATTGCGTTACATAACTTTTATGTGTTCAGACTGATTTCAGCCAGGTTCCTATGGATCTTAGCGCAGCAGGGTAGAGATAGAAGAAAAAAATAACGGCACACGCTGAGGAGGTTGCACTGTAGTTTTTTTTAATTATTTTTTGTTAAGCAGTTTACAGCTTGTGATAAGCTTATGAAACACAAACAAGCTTCCTCATCTTTACACCCACTTACAAATGCCTTGTTAGTTTCAAAAAGCAAATTTATTCCATTGTTAAAAAAACACTGAGCTTCATTGACCAACAAACCGCAGGATAATGAAGTACCCCGAAAAGAACAGTGTTTTTAACAGCACAAACAATCAGAAATTACCACAAATTCTTTTCTCTTGTTTAGATAAAACACTTTTTTAAAAACACTTTTACTGCCCACTGCTAAAGGGAAAACAGTAATACTGTTTTTGCCCGTGTGCGTCTGTGTGCAAACTCTAAGCACTACACATTTTGAGTATTTATTTTTGCTTAAATCTTTAGCAGTAACTGTTGGCGTTAGCTATGTCTGTCTGTTAGCAAAACATCTCAAGAACCACAGATCAGATTTTATTGAAACCTTCAGATTGCAATGTTTTAATTTATACTAAAAAGAATAATTTGTCAAATTTACTTAACTAAGTTATGTCAAGTGGTTCCACTCAACCAAGTTGAGTAACTGTAATAAAATTTACACAACACAAGTAAATCTCTCAGTCGAGTTGAGTGGAACCACTAGAAATACCTTGGTTAAGTAAAATCAATACTAAGCAATTTTTGAGTGTACAAATGATTAACTTTGTGGTCAGACTAATTCAAGTAGGCCACCACAGCTAATTACCTGAAGATGACAYAACAATARYTGTCAAAATTTACAAATTTTGAGCYAAATTTTGRTTTGRTTTGTAGCTGCCAGTCAACCTCAAAGCTTTTTCAGAGCACTAATAGGTCTCATAAGGTCACAGAAAATTCAAGCGTAACATCAGTTATTAGGTGGATATAACTCATCTTAGTATGATTAGGGCCACACAATATATTTTTATTATTTTTTTACTAGAATAAAATCATAATATTACGTCTCTAAAGTCATAACATTATGAGGAGGAGGACATGAGTTAAAAAAATATCAGAAACAGAAAAATGGACATGTTGTAAGATTGACTTTTTT